CCATTGTAGTTGAACAGGAATGGACCTTAAAAATATGGAGATTAAACATCCCAGGAGGTCCCTATGGCAATCAGCCTACAATCCCAAAATTTCTTAAATAAGTAGTGTTACCAGGAAGAGAGGTTCTATCTCTGTGAAGCACCAAAAGGGTACAGTGCCTTCTCACCAGATCGTTGGAATCACCCTCTTAATTTTTAACTCTGATGCTTGGGAGTGAGTGTCAGGAGTTGATATAAACAGGGTGTGCTTTCTTTACCCCTTGATGTCTTTACACTGGGAAAGCCTAGAACACTAGGGGGGCTGGAATATCCCCCTCCGCATGTATTCACATTCACAACTTGGCCTTTCCTGACATACTCAGGAAAGGGTTTCACTGCAGAGGAAAATCCAACATTTTATACTTCATGGAAAGCCTGACTGCACAGGTGAAAGCTGTTTACAACCTCAATAGGCTCTGGATCTCTTAGGGCCCCTCAATTCCTTACCTCTTTGGTGTTCTCCTATGCAAGGTATCTGATGCTGGTTATTCGGTCCTTAGCTCTTGACCCCATGGTATGCAGATCCCCTTCCCAGGAGGCCACCTGCCTTTCTTTCCTACCCCAAACCAAATGTATGTCCCCACCCTCAGGTCCTATTACCCATACTTGGGCATTCTCACCTATTTTCAGAAATAATGCTGGCTTCCCATAACTTTTTCTCCCTTCACCCACCCTATTTTCTCTGGCTTCCCTGGGTCCTGGAACTGCTTCCAGTCATCAAAGGCATCAAGATAAATGACCATGCTGGTAGAAGCAGAGTTAGAAGTCAGGGCCCAGCAACTAAGCAACATGTGGAGTCAGAAAAAGCCTAAGCAGCACTACAGCGTCTGTAATGAACTTGATTTATTGTTAGGAGTTGGAGGTGGCTCCGTTACAGCAGCTGGGAACTGTAGCAGGGACGTGTGGGAGGGAGCAGAGCACAGCAGCATGAGAGGGTGGGAGCTAGGAAGAACACAGGTGGTCTCGTTTTGGTTTCCACACAGTCATTTGGCAGAGAAGCTGAGCCCTGAAGAGCGT